CTAAACTTCCTCCTGTTCCCATTCTTTGATTGATCTCTCCCCTCTGTTTGTCATCCATTCTTCTTCTTCTTCTCCCTCACCCTCGTCGTTGCAAGTCTCAACTGCTCCCCCCTCAACCCCCGTTTTCCATCCAATATCCCTTAGCTTCCTCCTCCCATTTATCCTCAACCCTCACCCCCCCAAAAAAAAAGAAAAACAAAAGAAAAAAATAAATTCTTTGTCATATTTCGGTACTGGCTACTGCAGCATAAAATTAAATTCTCCTTCTCGTCAAGATTGTCTCCAACAGTCTGAAAACATACACGTTATTAAAATTCAATAGTACTGCGCATTACAGGATACGAAACATATCTGCTATCCCTATGCATATCATGAATGAGGGTTTAAAATTTACCGTTACCCTCTAATAGACGCCTCAGGTTTCTGCTATTAAAATCCTGAAAGGCGCGCGCGGCGAAAGTCAAGACTAAACTATAGGCTGTCAAATCGATTTTACGCTCGTTTGATCTCACAATTTCTGCCGTTGTACAGCGTTTGGAAACATCATCTTTTTTCTGACGTGAGAGAAGTGTATTATGGACACCGGCCAGACTTTTGAATAAGACGTCATAGTTGAAAGGTTGAAATGTGTCCGGTATCTGCGACGTTTTTATTTTAACCCCCCCCCCAAAAAAAAAAACAACAACCAACAAACAACAACCCAAAACGATATCCCCCCCCCCCCAAACAAACAAAAGCAAAACAAACAAACTTGCTAAAGAGCCAACCTTTCAATGAATACGTTTTTTTCCCCAAACCGTCGGCACCACAGACATAATGAATTCGTGTGCACTGGTCTTTGTGTGAGTGAGTGATTGTGCGTGCTCATGTGTGAGCACTTTCACGTGAACGCACACAAGTGTTAATGTGATGGGCATTCGACAGAGAACTTGTGCGACAGAGAGACCGTGTTTGCTTGTGTCCGAGTGTGAAGGCGAGAGTCTTATTTCATGTTGGTAAAAGTGTTCAAATGGGAGTGGGAGGTTGACACGGCGAAAGCACACTTCTTTCTTGACGAAGTGCGTGCTTGTAGATGTCCGTTGATGAGACAAATGAATGAGTGATCACATGTAGATCTATGTGTGATCTTCTCTGTGTGTTGTTAGGCCAGTGTGCGTGTGTGTGTGGATGCTTAAACATAGTGTGTCTGTTTGGTTGTGGGTGTGTATGTGTTATGTGTATGAAGCAATTGTGCTTGTGTGTGCGAGTAAAAACGGGTGTTAATGAAAGAACGTGCGTGTGTGTGTGTGTGTGTGTGTGTGT